TTCCCTCCAGAGACTTACATGCTGGTGTGAGCATGAGAGTGTTAACTCAGCACCCCCTTAGTAATATTTTCTCCCTCCAGCTATGGTTAAGTCTGATACTACATCCAACCAGGTTTACCTTGAACCAGTTTTGGCCACTTTGAAAGCCATTTAAGTGCACTGAACTTGTGTTCTGTTACAGGTTTAAACTGGTTTCTCATCACTTAAACTGGTTTATGTGTAACTTCTGTCTCTACGGGGTGATGCTAACCAGTCTGTGGTAGGAGCAACGTAATAGTTTCACAGAGCCTGTAGCAGGTGAACCAAACTAAGAGAAAAGTTTAAGCCTGGCTAGGCACTTACCAGTCTTTTTCCTCCAACCAACAAGCATCAATTTTAGGTGTTAGTAGGGGAATAGCTTGATTTTTCTCCTTTTCACTTAAACTTCAGAACAGTAAATCTTTCCCCTTTTCTGTCCATGTTTTCCTTTTCATCTTCTAGTCATGTTGACAACTTGGGAGTGACCATCTTCCTGTCTGCAGATCATAATCAGTCCTTTGTACATGCCAATTCTAAAACTGTATTTTAGAAAATATTTCACAGGTTTCCTTTCACTTCTAAAAAGTTCTAAATAAATTTGGAGTTTATGAAGAGTCCCAGGTTGACAGCCCTGAAAAATGAAATGTTCTCTCTAACAAAATAGGTACAGTGTTCCTATGCTGCCATATTAATTTGCCTAAATCTCTACTCTTCATAGGCCACATTAAAGACTCTCATTTTTCCCATGCAATACAGACTAAGTGCTATATTTCCCCCATTCAGTACTCATCATCAGTATCCTAAATATATTGTATACATCCATGCAGGGATATTTCATGTCCTTGCATACTCTGCAGTTCACCTCAGTCTGTCAAAATCTCTCAATATGAATCTAGTAAAAAAAATATGGTGAATAAGTTTAACTTTGTTGTGGCACTCTGCAGTGATATGGCTGTATTTCATATGAGTGCCCATAACTAAATGACTGTTAGAGAGTTCATTTAGGCAAACTACCATGAAGTTCCTTTAAAAGAGCTTATTCCAGTACTTAAAAGTCCTCTTCTGGTTAACAAGTTATCATTAACCTTGCACTTGAGTAGACGTTCAAAATCTACTTATTCTTTCTCTTGATCTGCAGCGAGCACAAGACCCAAAATTTATATCCAGAGCTAGTTTTCTGAACATTATCCTGAAGTTCAATTAGCACACTCCAGCAGCTTTGGCATCGCATATTTTCAGTGTCTCTGTGCTTCAAAATGGTGATTGGGGTGCTTTAACAAACACTTGTCAAACCAGCTCCAAACAGCCGCTCTAATTAAAGTGCCACCCACCTTCCCCCGGAGCACATGAAAAGACACCCCAGGGTTCTAGGCCTAGCCCAGGTAGTGATGTGTGGTGTAGTGGGTAAAGGCAGGGAACCAAGAGTCTTAGGTTCTGTCTTAAGAAAACATTCTTGTTGCCTTTGATGTGCTTTCCTAATTAAAATTCAGTTTGTGCCTTAGCCCAGCTTGAATATGAATTGTTCTAAATTCACACAATAACCTGCCCACACCTGCAGATAATGCTGAAGTTATGCAGGGATGGAGAATAGCAAGAGCACCCTAGTGTCTGCACCCTGACACTAAAAAGCTGAACCCTCCACCCTGAAAAACATCTCCACTTCAAAGATCTTGGTGCTGCAAAAGATGAAGGGCCTCAACCACATAGACAGTGCTCCTACCCCAGTCCCCCCAGTATTTCCTGATTGGGCTGAAGTAGCCAAGTGCTTTCCCATCCAGTGCTCCTGCCCCACATCCCCTAAATGCCACCTACTATGTCTAAAGTAGCTGGAAGCCCTTCCCGTAGCTGGTGCTCCTGCCCCATTCCTCTCAGCAATATCTACTCACACTGAAGTAGCTGGGAGGGTTTACCACAGATCTCCTTATGGAGAAAATTACCCATTTCCCTTCCTTCCCCTGGTCTCACCCAAGTGGTGAATGCTAATCTGAATGAACCAGAGTGGCCAAGGCTTGGAACCATTAATTATCACAGTCATTATAGGAAGAGGCAGGATGTCTAGGTTTTATCCCAGGTCTGGAGGGAGTAGTCTAGCGAGTCAAGTACTGGGAATCTGAACTCTAGGTTCTATCACAAGTCTGGAACTGGGGTGTGATAGAGTGGAGGGTGCCAGGAGCCAGGTGTATACACTATAGATCAGCTTTGGGAAGATAGTGGGGTCTACTGTGTTAGAACAGGAGATCAGAGACCTAGGACAGCTGGGTTCTCATAATTTCTGTGTCCTGAGCTAGAGAAAGCAGAACTGATGGACCATGAAAGTAAGGGTGTGGGTGGTTTAGGTGTGGTAAGTATGAAACCCATGACCCCCACAGAAACCTCCCTATCTATAGCACTAAGAATTCAAAAGGCTCAGTATAGGTGAAACAAGGTATTGTGCAGTAAATTAGCTTCAGAACTTCAAATGCTGCAACTAATAGCATGTATGCAAACTGTGGCTGTGATGGTGAGGTCCTGCAAGGTTGCTGTAGTCCATCCGTCCTCACAATTGCAAACTTGGGTATTACATAGTTTGACTGTATACTACATATGGGAGAATTTTTTAAAGGAAACCCTGTAGAAACAGAGTTGGGATCTATGTAAGAAATAACTACAGGTATATTTGTCATCCAACATATAATAACACTGTTGGGGGCACCCAAAATGCAGGTTTGTTGAATCATGAACAAAACATAGTAACCTGCCTGATAGATGTCAAGTTGTAGCATATCATACTGGCACAAGCTTTGGCATAGGATAAAGATGATTACACTCCTAAATATTCCTGTGTTGTTTAATAATGCAGTGGTCTGCCAAATACAGGCTGTTTCAGCATGGCTGTACTTTAGGATTAACATGACCCAAGGATTTCACAATCATAGATTGCTAACATTTTTTCCCCATTTTTATCACAACCCCACCCAGCACAGAAGAGAGATATCAGTAACAAATCTGGATGATTTGAACTAGCAACTCCTTGTTTGTTGCAGCGGTTTTTGTGATTCAGACTTTTAACAAAGGATTTTACGGTTTTACCTGGTGGTAGTAGATATACCCCAGTTAATAGGCTTTTTCTCCATATTTGGCTTACAGCAATTGCATGAAGTAACAATAATGAAGAGCTGGGGAGAACTGGTAGGTGATCCCCCTTAGAGCATTAGTCCTAAACTCTGTTGCTCTGTCAAGTTCATTTTTAGAAGTCCCAACTCTGGGACTTTCCTTGAATTTCACCAGCATTCCCTGAACACACTTGTTGCAATTCCTGAGAACTCATTATGTTTTCATTACTTTATGACAAACTGGATATGTTATTCCAGTTGCCAGTTTTCCCCAGCTGTAAATAATGGAATTTTAACTTTCTTATTGCATTATAGAAGGCCTCTGTGCAGATTGCCAAAAATATAATTTTAATTTTTATATCATGTTGCAAATTCATATGTAATCTGTAAACCTATCATTCATAGAGCTACACTTTTCTAGCTTTTCTTTATTCCTATTAACAATCCAAATCTTCCTCTGGGATACTAAAAGATTTAATTTGCACCATTAAATGCACTGGGAATTTTGCCATTGTCTTTAGTAGACACAAAGTTCCAGGTTTAAACAAAATTATAGCTACAAACAGTTCATTTTTAGGATAAATGATTTAGATTATAATAAACAACTGGCTGAGGTATTTTAAAGCACTTCAGTTAAATCTTATATGTTCTCTGGGAACATTTATATTGACATTAGCTATAAAGGATATTTATTATTTTATAAAAATAAAAATGTTTATTGTCGTTAGATTTTTGTATAGGACTGCTCATCTGATCAGTGGAAATGTCATGAAACCAAACTCAAGCCTTAGGAAGTGCCAGCTGTAGAAGAATGTGATAAAGTACTAAAACTAGTAAGACAAAATGGTGAGGTCTGTAACACATCTGTAATGAAGCAAATATTCAGGTTGATTGACAACATCCACTCTGGTAAGATAAGACACTTTGCTTTTAATTTACTTAATGTTATGCTTATCGGGTTTCATGATCTCAACAACACTCTTCAAGGTGTGTAATACCGTAATTATTACGCAGGTACCTGTCAAGAGACTGAAAGTTCTTGGCACTCGCAGTATAAAGCACCCCCCCATGTAGTCAAGTATTATTGCTTAATGACACTCATTTGTTTGTGCTGCAGTTTCTCAGAAAGGTAGCCATGCCCCTTAGTACATTCATACATGTTATTAGTCAGGTTACAACAGGCGCTAACATGAGGCATACAGGGAGGGAGAGAGAGGCACGCTAATTCCCCCTTACTCTTTGCTTGACCTTTGCAAAGACATTGCACAAGGCATAGTTCCCAAGTTTGAGGGAGCACAGGATTTATTGTTTCAGCAAATTCTTGGGGGCGTACACAACTTAGAAGATAAGAAAGCCATGACAGCCTTCCCCTCCTGCTCACTTAGGCCTGCAGAAAGGACTAAGGATGGCAGAAAGAACAGGCAGAGCCATTTTAAGGTATAGCACAGGCTTCAGTCAGCTCTGCTCCAGCTCACCCTCAACATAGGTCTCTGTGTAAATCTCAGTCTAGCTCAGACAGTCTTACTATGGTCTCATGTAGATTTCCTTCAGTTTTTCTTCCCTAGTGGATCTCTCTGGAGTTTTTTGGGTTTTTTGCTTTTTTTGGCAAAAGTCTCTATTGTTTAAAGGGTCATATAATTTATTGCATGTGCTGTTCCTTTCTCTCAAGAGCAGCAATTGATATGTTTGTCTGTTGGTGGGCCCTTCTTTCTCAGAATACTTTGATACAGACAAATAATTATAACAGGATGTTATGACTGAAAGTCATTGGATTTCTGATACATTATAATCTGCCTGACAACTGAGTCCCCAACCCAGCCGCTGGTTTCTTTACTTTTCATTCCATCCAGGAAGAGCACACGCCAACTGCTGAAACTTCCTTAGCCTGACGAAGGGTTTTTGAACCCGAAAGCTTGCTTAATAACTATTCTCCAACTATTTGGGGTGGTCTAATAAAAGATATCAAATTCACCCAAGGAACCTTGTCTGCCTATGTCCTTAGACCAACGCGGCTACAACCTACACCCCTGCATGACTGAAAGTCTCCATTTATTTTTTCATAGGCCACATACTCTATTAGTAATTCAGAAATAATTACAGTTTCTGGTAATTAGCAATATTTTATTAGAAATATCATGTAACATCTGTGTGTGACTAGTGATATCTGACTTGAATTTGATGATTTACTGAAATTTCAGGGCTCCCAGTAGCAGGAGATAAATAAACTGGTGGGTGCTAGAAGGGTGTCAAGGTGTGATGAGATTTTTGTAGCATGACATGATTTTCAATTGAGTCATGCTACACATATTTTAGAAATAGGAAGTAGTAAGAACTATCTGACTTCATTTACCTACCTATATAGGTTTTTCTAGAGTGCCTTTCCTTGTAGTAAATAATTGACAACCAGGGAGACAGGTTTAGGTCACTAAACCATTTGACTTAAACTAAATACCAGGTATACAATACAGCTCTGGAGACAGAATTTGTCCTTAAGTAAAGTTCAATAGCAGTTGTCCAAAAAACAGCCAAATAAATAGGAAACGAGTTTAAATATAAATTTCATATAATTTTATTTCATAAAGTCTATTTCATGTTGTTACTTTAGCTGTAATTCAGTCAGTCAATGTGCTGAATTATTTCATCTACACGTGTCTTCCTGTGAGAGAAAACTGAATCGTTCAGTATAGAGTTGTAACAGCAACCATAGCTGATACAAAGCCAGACAGTATAATAATAGAATATATTTTAAAGAATAAAGGAAAAAAATATTTATTGAAACATGTCAGATGGCATTCCCTTCTTTCCCCTTGTTTTGGAACCTCATTTCAACCACGTAATTATAGCCTTTGAAAACTTGCTTTAAATACCATTTGCACTTGTAATGACTATAAACTGACAATTCTGTCTGGCAGCACAGTAGGATGAGTCTCACAAACGTATACAATTGTTTCATATGTGGTTTAATATAAAGCAAAAGTGAATTTTTTGTCACAATCATTTTTACATGATTTGCCACCAAAAATCTTTTACAGTAAAACCTCTGTAATGCAATTCACAGACATATTCAGATATTTGACTGTTATGTCAGGTTTTGTTTTTTTAAGACTTAGATACTATCCACTGCTGTTCTGACATGTCTAGTGCCTGGAGTTCTATGTCTGCCTGTGTCAGTGACTCTTTATATTATGTTAAGATTGTTATTAAATTAATTGATTTGTAAACTTAGGGTAATATTTCCCTACCCTGCAAAACTGTTGTCAGGTTTAAATAATGAACAGTTTTAGAGCCCTGCATAAGCATAATGTATTACCATTACTTTAGAGATTTTCAGTATTCTCATTGGAATTAAATGAGAATTGGGAACTTAATTCCCTTAAATGCTTTATATTACACAAAAACACTAGGGACATTGGGAAATGACATAATTAAAGTTACCTGTGAATCTCTAATTCAAACCCCTAATGCATGTGCTTTATAATAGTTACTTACATGAACATTTTGAGCATAATTATGTTTCCTTTACTGCACAGGATGGACAGTGTAGTTTAAATGAGCAACTATTCAATGTTTTGGTTTCTCCATGTTGCTCATTGTTTACCTTTATTTATAGCACACTATTAGAAACCCTGTTCTGAAAATAGAATTAATCGTTTCCTATTTGAAGCACTCCAGTATCTGAATGACTTAAAAACTGAAAGTTGAGACCAAAAATACCCACTAATATTGGGTCACCAATTTGAGATTCAAAGGACATGATTTTTCCGAGTATTTAGTAGCATATGGCAGTTTATACATTGAAAGGTCCCAATGACTTGCCATGGAGCGCACTGAGTTTTCAGTACTTCTGCAAATTATACTTCCATGTTGCCAGTCAGGGACCAATAAAATAACAAGTACATTGTTAGTAGTTGTTCTAAGTATTTCGGATTTTGGAAGGCAGTGGCCATACTGCACAAATAATACTGTAATTGTTTTTGTAGAAGGGAAAGTGCAGAATTTGTGTGCGTCAAAATTGATGGGGAATAGACAGAGTTTGGAATTTGGCAAGGTCAGTTGGCATAACAGATCATCCTGGGAAATTTACCTAACAACACACTGTTTCTGCAGTCATTGGCTTTGTTTTTAATTTAAAGAGGGGACGAAACAGTGGGAAGAAGGCCTGGATTTTTATTAAACCCATTGTCTCTGCATACTTGCACAAAAGGAGGTGGGCCAGTTTTAAGAACTCAGAGACATTTTGCACAGGCAGAGAGTGAGGGTACAGTTGCTTTTGGGCATACTCGGTAGCTCTCTCTGCAGTTGTGTATAGGGTTTACCTTAAGGCAGGGGTGGACAAAATGTGGCCCAGGGGCTGAATGCGGCCTGCCAGGCCATTCTATCTGGCCCACGGGGCCCCTAAAAAATTTAGAAAGTTAATATTTATCTGCCCCGGCTGCCTGTCATGCAGCCCTCGATGGCTTGCCAAAACTCAGTAAGCGGCCCTCCACCCAAAATAATTGCCCACCCCTGCCTTAAGGCCAGCAGTCTTAAAGGTTTCACACACATCCGTTATCTGAGAGAGAAGTGGGCTGGAGCTCAGTGTGGAAAATTTATAAATGGGGAAGTTGGAGGCTTTGGACTGAGCCACTGAACTGTGGACTAGATTAAAAACTGGAAGCTGAAGAGAAAGCCAAATGTTGACTTTTGGACTAGACTTGCTCTGGCTGTGAGGGTCTTTAGACTGCATTGCAGGACTGTGGGAAAGAGGTGTGCTGTTCTCTTCTGGGTCCAAGGAGTGCAGCTGACATATGAGATCATCTTGTGAAACGTTTATATCTCTTCCCACTGATCTTCATCCTGTGAAATACTGTAGTTGGGACCAAATATCTCTGCTAGAGAACTGAGTTCACTTTACAGTCAGATTAAACTAAGATTTTATCTATCTCCACTGCCTGAGTGCTTGCACTAGCTACTTTCTTCTGGGTTCTCCAGTGTCATAGAGTCTGCTGCAGCAGTTCCACCTCCATATGTTCTGGTGCATTATTAAATCAACAGGGAAAAGCCTGTCTTTGTGAGGAGATCAAATGGTACCTGCTCCCAATTCTGGTTATACCATGTAGCTACATAAACCATTGTTTTCTAATCATATGTGCAAGTGGCTCCCACCTGTTTTCAAGTTCTTGCTTTCTTCTAGGGCAATGCTTCTTAACTTTTTTGGACTCGAGGTTCTTTTGTGAATTGAGTGGCACCCAATTTTAAAAACTAATTTATAGATTACAGTGCTTACCTCCTTGCAGAAGGGCGTGGCAGTAGGAATAGGGGATTGTCCAGGCAGTGACAAGTACTTATCTGCTTAGTTTAGCTGCTTCTCTTCTAACACAGGGGTGGGCAAAATATGGCCCACGGGCTGGATGTGGCCTGCCAAGGGATTTTGTCCAGCCTGTGATAGGTCCCTTGATCCTGCCTGACTCAGGCACAGGGAGCAGTCCAGGCCATGATGTGTGTGGCCAGTCCTGCTGTCCCCAGGTGTGCAGCAGGACTGGTGCGGTATGGTGGCCGGACTTGCTTCCAGCAGCCTCAGTGGTGTGGCTCCTTCTGGCTGCTGCAGCCACTAGACCCATCCCTGCTGCCTGGGGACCCTGGCCTGTCTGCCTCATACCCACTGCTGGGGCAGGATCCGCACGTGCAAAGCACTTGGCCAGGTGGCTGGGATGGGGCTGCGGGTGGGCGGGGAGTGGCATCAGGGAGTGAGATGGGTGGATGGGGCCAGGGAGACCCCAGATCTTGGGCCAGTGACAATGCAGGGCCAGGGCCTGGGTCAGAGCCACGATCAGCTGCTTGCTCGGCCTTGCAATGGGTGCAGGTTCCACAAGGTGGATCATGGCTCTGCCCTGGCCCCGGCCCTGTGCTGTCACTGCTCCAAGATCCTG